GGGGGGGGGGGGGGGGGGGGTATCGTAGTTAGAAGGTAGGGTTCTGGCGGTTGGGGCTGTAGTTTGGGGTTGGGGTTCGGGAGCTCCGGGTCTGGTGGCTTAAGGACTTGGGAGTTGGCGTGCATTGGTTTTGGTGGTTCGGGTCTGCCATGTTGAGCCGTTTCGGCTTTGCTGAGGACTAGAGTAAGGAGTGCTAGCGCGGTTTTTTTTTGGCTGCACGGATGCTCAGGGTTTCTGAGTCCCCGCCGAGGAATGGAAGTGTAAGCTCGCAGCTGCCACATGAAGAGAAGCATGTTATGTGCGGTAGATCCAGATTTTGCAGTTAAGTTTCTTCACAAGAGCCCAGGCTCACAGTGCAATCACCACATGTTCCTGCCAACAGAAAGCTGCACCCAAGCTATCAAATCCTAGCCATCTAAACATCTGACACCGACAACTCTAAACACTATAAGTCCTACAAGGTCCATGTCACGACATCCACAGCCGGGCTCGTCCGGCGAATGGTCGAGTTTCTCGGGGCGCAAGAAGGATTGCCATGTCATTGGCTCCGGGTACTTGCCCCGAAACGTAGGGCCACTTTGCTTGCTTGTCTTGAACCCCCATAATGCACCCCAAGAGAAGACTCAACACCAATGCAGACTTCATCTATTCATCAAGGGTCTGGATTACACGATAGCCCGTATATCAGACCCTATAAGCCTTATAGCCCGAAATACAGGCCATAGACGCGAAACCTTAAATGAACCCTAACCCCTAAACCCCAATTGCAGATCCAGAGCCCCGAAGCCCACATGCAGGCCCCACACACTTGAGGTAGCCCCTAAACCCTAAACCCTAAACCCCTTAATTCCTGAACTTAGGGCTCCGGCTCTGAAGTGAGAGGACCGTGATGATTCAGACCAGCGACCCTTTTTGACCCCTGGAAGGTCGGGGAGGGTGCGATTAAAGGCTTAATTTAAAGGTTTATAGGGTTTAGGGTTTAGGGTTTATGGTGCGATTTAAGGGTTCTACCCTATATAGGCTCCATGGTAGTTCCTTTTTGTAGTGTATATATTTAGGATGCAAAAGGGTAGCCCCAAAAAGGAAACACAATGGAGCCCATGGGTATAACATATGAAAGGATGGCCTGAGTAAGAAAGATCCGCAAAAGATCCTTGTTGCGTAAACATTGCTGAATCCCCTAACCCTCTTAACTTCCCCTGCGGAACTTCCTATACACCTTATGACACTGTATGTGCCCTAAACCCTAAACCCTAAACCCTCAACCCTGAACCGTACTGCTGAGGCTCAGCCTCCACATCGTGAGCCAGGCGACTGTCCTGTGCTTCCTGGACGAGAAGCCTGCCCTGGAAATGGATGCAATGGGTTTCGAGGTGGCTTCGGTCCAGACTTTGGAAGCGCGCTTTTCTAATATTGTATAGTAGTATAGGGGCTCTGAATAAGTACCATCTGTTCCTTAAAAGGGGATGCCTCAAAGACAGTGATATTCTAGCATACCCCAAAGCCGTATTTTGTTAGTTCCTGTTCGGACTGTTCATGCAGCTGTATATTGCTGCGTAGTGTTTTCCAGGGTCTTTTTTTGCGTCTTACTGAAACCCTGGAATATACTATCTTCTCTAGGATAACCTAAAGTTCTGGGTAGAAAAAGCTACTGCATTCTAGGGTCTAAGGTAGGGCCCTGGGATGTTCCTAGGCTAAACCGTAAAATGCAACCCCTAAACCCTAAACCCTATAACCCCTAAACACCCTAGACCCTAAATCTGGATTCAAGCTTGGGGCCTCAAGGGCACGACCAACCCTGAAGATATAGCCTCGCCTTTGCCGCTACAAACTTAAAACCAAAACCCTAAACTGCCCTAAAAACCCCTAAGCTGCCCTAAAAACCCTTAAACTGCCCTAAAAACCCTAAACTGCCCTAAAAACCCCTAAGCTGCCCTAAAAACCCCTAAGCTGCCCTTAAATCGGAGTATGTGTATTAGAGGAACCCTCAAAGAGGAGCTCTGCAGGGCTTAGCGATCAGGCTTCTTCACCGCGGCTGATTCCTGGGGATCCAAACACCTGTGGTTTTTAGGGGATTTAGGGTTGAGGGTTGTATCCTATTATGAAGGGGTCAGAACCTACTATTTTGTAGGGTTTGGGGATACAGGTTAAGCCTAAGCTCCAAGCCGAAACCGAACCGCCAAACTGTCGACGTTAAGTCGCTAAACCCCTGAACCCACAGCCCTAACCTATAAATCCTAGGCCTAAACCCTTAAAGTCCTTAAAGCCCTAAACCCCTATAGCCTGCACTCCCGGTCAGTTCAACCCTCAACCCTAAAACCCTATAGACCCCTTTAAAGGAACCCCCAAAGGAACCCCTATAGACTCCTTTAAAGGAACCCCTAAAGGAACCCCTATAGACCTCTTTAAAGGAACCCCTCTAGATCCCTTTAAAAGGATACCCCTCAGCCTCAAGGTGGTCCCTGCACCCTCGCTGCTCCCCGACGCCGCCGGCTGCTACCGGATTTCTGGGCTTCAAAGAAAGCCCCTGGTAGCTCGCCCCGTTTTCGCCTGTAGAAATGACGTTGAAAAAACGATGGTAATCATGTTCGTAACCGTTAATATGGCAAGTGGAAAGAAGAGAAGGCAGATGCTGATAAGAGGGGTTGGGGTTGGTGGATTTATGGGATTTCGAGGTGAGGGTATCGGGTTGTGATTGTAGTAGCGTGCTTTTTCATGTGTTTTATGACAAGCAAAAACTTCAAACTCTCAGGCTAGACGTTTGGGATTTTGGAGTTCGGGTTTCGGATCGCGTTTGCACGCGTATTGCCGCACGACATTGGCAGTGGCTTGGCCTAGTTTCACCCCGTTCCTCGATGAGCTCTAATACAAGGTTTGAAGGCAACCCTAACCTACGGCCATTCATCTCTATCTGAAGGTTTCGGGTTGGTAAAGCAAGGCAATCTATCTTATCACGGGTTAGTGCAGCACTGGGTGACTCCGTTTGGAGTACGTATTGTAAAGTGCCTCCACATGGCTTCTACATACGTTGGATGCATCCTAATCCTAGCAGCCATGAAGAATCTTCCAACTCAAGCCCTCCAGCCCCAAGCAAAACAAGCCGAAGCAAGTAGGCCTCACAAGCCTTAAACCCCCATATGCAACGAAACCCCATAAACCCTGAACCCTTAAAGCCTCAACAAGTGATAACTATCCTTGGCCCCCAAGCGGAGTTTGGACGAATCCACCTTGCCCAGGCCTTCCCGGGAGTTCGCAAAGATTCGATCTTCCGCTTCGGGAAGCATCTGCAGGCCCGGCAAAGGTCTCTTAGCAACATGGGGGCCTTGATGATTGGGGGAGGGGGAGTGCCCGGCCGGGTCGCACACGAATGGGAGAGGCGGGGAGTGCGGGATCACTGAGGAGGGGATTAAGGGGAGGGAAAGACGCCTCTGCGGCTTCGGCCGGGGGCGAGGTGAATTCTATCAAACCTCTCGACAAGTTGAGTGCTTGGAGTATCAAAGGACCTGGTGTGCGAGAAGTATTGTTATGACCAACATAACTCCAACCACCGTTAGGGTGCTTAGAAAGCCGCTTATAGCTCGACGCCTTCAAGTAGGCATCCTATAACCGCAACGTCTTGAGATTGGTACAGATATAGCTATAGCGACAGTGTCCATTGTAGTTCCCGTCTCCCGGTTACCCTATATAAGTATAGGATCCGAAATACAAGAGGAATCGCAATGGAGACCGCAGGTATAATTCCTAATTACCAGAAGCAAGCGGTCAAGCACAGGCCAGGGAACTCCACCAAGCAGGGTTTTGTTGGTGTTTCTGGCTCTGCTTAGAGTTTTTTTTACGGTCTTTCAGGATTTAGGGCTGAGGGCTTTTAGAGGTCTTTCAAGGCTTCAGAGTTTAAAAGGTTTGGGGGGCCGGTGCTGGACGTGAACACCAAGCCCTCCAACACAAAGCCTCCGCAGACCCTAAAGTCCTTAGAATCGGGAGCTCCCAACCGCACTCAATCCGTTAACAAAAAAGCACACTCCGAACCGCTTGCGCAACCTAACTCATTGAAATAAGCTCTGAAGCCCTGCCAAAAAAAAGAGGCAAAGCCCCAAACACCCCTGAAAGCTCGTAGCGGCCCGAAAGGCCCCAATGAACACCCAGGGCCCAAACCTTAAGCCCGAAAACCCTATAGAGCCCCAGGCACATCACAACACCCCAAAGCTTCAACGCCATTGAAACAGCCCAAACCTTAAGCCCGAAAGCCCTAGAACCCTAACACACAACACCCCAAAGCTAAAAAAAAAAAACCGTTGAAAAACAAACGGCGCCAGCTTTCAGGGCAGCGTCCCCGTGGCCTCGCTGTCTGGCGGCCACCTGGGAGTCTCTGCGCCGAGGATTTGGGGGCTTTTGAGGTTCAGGGTTTGAGGAAAAATGGGATTCTAGCGGTTTAGGGTTTAGGGTTTAGGCTTCGCCTTTCATGTTTTTGTTGTGAAGGGCGGTGGATTGGAATTTTTGTGGCGGATTCAGGGATGCTCCTAGGCCCACAGCTCTTTCAGACGCCGGGATCTAAATCCCTAGACATCCCTGCACAAGACCCCTTGAAACACTTGCTACTAAAGGCTATTCTTCCCCACCCTATTTTAAACCGCTTCAACTGGCTCCCAGTTTAAGCCCACCACAACCTTAACCCTTAACCCCTAGCAGGCTCCAAAAAGGCTCCTCCTAAATCCCTTAAATCTAAACCCTTAACCTAAACCCTAAACTGTTAAATCTGAGCCCGCGGCGGGCGGAAAAGGGGCGATAAAAAAACAATGAGAATCTGAGTCCGAAGCTGTAAACCCTAAACCCTATAAACCCTAAACCCCTAACCTAAACCCTGAACTTTATGCACCCTAAACTCTCAGCCCTTAACAGGCTTAAACAGGGGATAAACAGGCTTCTAGAGCACGCACCAGGTTTTGGACACCCTAGAGCCCCAAAGCCTTAACCCCGAAACACCTAAACCCCCCTAAACCCCTCAACACCTAATTAACCCCTAAACCCCTAAACCCTTAAACCCCCACAAGCCCCTGAACCCCTAAACCCTCAACCCCGAAACCCCTAAACCCCCTAAATAACCCCTAAACCCCTATAAACCCCTACACCCTAAACCCTAAACCCTATAAACCCTCAAGCCCCCAAAAAGCCTGAGCTCGAAACCCGGAACGCCGGAAGGATTTGGCTCGAAGTGGGGTGCAACAACTGGGAGATGTTACTCGAGAGCCTCCCGGAGGAGTGGATCCCTTTTGGGTGTTTGGGTTTTTTTAGGGGGGTTTTTGAGTTTTGTTTTTTTTAGGGGGTTTTATGGGTTTAGAGGTTTAGTGGGTTTATAGGGGGGTTTAGGGGTTTAGAGGTTTAGGGGTTTAGGGTGTTTAGGCGTTTAGGGGTTTAGGCGTTTAGGGGTTTCGGGGGTTTAGGGGTGTAGGCGTTTAGGGGTTTAGGGGGTTTAGGGGTTTAGGGGTTTAGGGGTTTAGAGGTTAGGGGTTTAGGGGTTTAGGGGGTTTATGTATAGGGTTGTAGTGGGCTTCAGGGGGTTTTAGGGTTCAGGGTTTGGGGTTACCGTTTAGGGCTTAGGTCTAAGAGTCTAGGGATTTCTAGGGGCTGTTTCCATGCCGTGGGCTTGAATAATTTCCTATGGTAGCCCCTTCACAGTCCCTTATTTGCATGATATACTCCATTATCCTAAGCCCGAAACCAACCCTATAAAAACCCTATAAGCCCTATACAAGCCCTATAAAACCCCTATCCTATAAAAGCCCAAAACAGACCGTATAAAAACCAACAAAAAACCTGTAAACACCCTATAAACCCTAATTATCTCAAGCCTAACTGCGTCGCTGTGAAGGCTGCTAGGGTTTTCTAAGGGGCTTTCACCATGGTTTCGCTTAGGGTTAGGGTTCAGGGCGTTATATCTTCAAGGCCTTAAAGGTCTTGGATACAGCGTTTTCATTGAGAACAAGTTTAAATAGTTATCAGAATAGGGTTTGGGTGCCTGTTCCTTGACAATCCGTATACAGGATCCTCTGTCCTGAGGCATGCTCCGGTGGTTGCAGTATTTACGCCAGACATTTTTGTTTATCCCTTCTGCCAGGACCCTAAACCCTAAACCCTTCTGCCAGGACGGTTCCGTCTTTCTGCTCACCTTGGAGCCTCTGGTGGACAAGTTCGCTTTTCTTCGGGCCCTCCGTCGGCCCCATCACCTGGTGCTACCCTTCGCTGTGGCCCCGAAGGTCATGGGCCACTTCTCCGCCATCCGCTCCCAGAACTACAGTGCCTCTCGGCAGTTTCTGACTGTCGGAGGAGGTCTCAAAGCCCCATCTTCGTGCCAGACGCGCTCACAGACACTTACCGACAGCTGCATGATGTGTAGTAACGCACTAGAGTTTCATCATGACAACGATGAATGCATTGCTCTCTTGATGCTTGATAGTTGCTGGGATTGTCATGGGAAGTCCTGCTACGGAATGCTGCACTTTTCTAATCCTGCCCTTGTTTACCCTGTTGGTCGAGTCCGAAATTTGTATTTCCGTGAAGAGACGACATCGTGCTTGATCGTTGGACTTTCAACTGCTGTTCTTTATGCATGTTCTTGACCTTACTATCTCTGTGCTTGCTTCTGCGACTTCAGACGTTTCTACCCATACCGGCGTTATTCTTCTACCAAGACTACGCACAGTTGCGCACACATGCCGGGAGATCTTCAAGCTCTCACCTCCGAGAGTATAGCCTCAACCCTTCTTCAAACCCAGGGCTGAGGCTTTAGGGTTAACTCGAAGCCCCCACACACAAGAGACCCCGAGCCCCATGAACCCTAAACCCCAAACAAGGACTTCCGTGGTCGTCCCGGCGCCCGCTTTCAGGAGAGTGGCGCCAGTTCTTTGCTAAGCTACGCCTCTGGGCTCCCCGACTGGACTTTAGTTTCTTTCTCAAGTTTACCCATAGGCCCCTTAGGGTTTAGGGTTTAGGGTTTTAGGTAGTTCCTTTTTGGGATTACCTTATAGGATTCTATAGATATAAGCCACAAAAAGGAACTACTCAGGGGCCTATGGGTAGGGCATTGAGGGTTCCCCAAACTTTCTGTGAGGACTCAAGAAGGTCTTACAAGTTTCGTAGTTTTTTTGTGTACAGGGTTTGGCATGTTTCAAGATTCGGTGGTTGAAGTGTTACTTTTTTTCCATGTTTAGGGCTTGAGGTTTAGATTCGTGTGAATTCCGGCGAAGGATTCAAGGTTCTGGGTTTTTGTTGGGTTATGGGGCTCAAGGTTTATGAATGAGTAGGATTCAGAGTTCAAGGTTTTGTTCTCTGTCTGGGATTTGGCCAGCTTATACAGGTCCCAAACTCCTGCAGGCCTCGATGAAACCCTAAAAACACCGTATAATGCCCTGTAAAATCCTATGACACCCTATCCCTACTACTGGTAGCGAACAGATGCCTTGAATCCTGGCCAGGTTCCGGGACCATCAGTGGGATGGAGCTGAAGCCCAGTATGCCAACTTCCGAGAGTATTTGGCTCCTTTGGTCGGCTTTAGCTCAGGGTGTAGGGTTTAAGATGTAGTGTTTAGGGTTTAGGAGTTTTTATGTTCAACAGCTTTTCTTCTGATGTGTGGTGAAGAACTGATTGAAGATTTGCGCCTCATCGCGTAGACCGCCGTGTAGTCAACACCTTTAAACCTTTAAAAGCCTTAAACCCTATATACCCGAAGCCACGGAGCCCCGAAAAGAAGCGAGGTTCCCACGGTGTCTTTGGAGTGGATTGTCGGAGCCCTGCTCGGCGACCGCGAGGTCGAGTTTCTGAAGATCGATGCTCAGGGCCTGGACTTTGGGGTCTTCGCATCTCTGGGGGAGTTCACGGATCGCGTTCGGCGTGTGCAGATGCTGGGCGCTTGCTAAGGAAATCTTACCATTATGACTAACAGTATTATTGTTATTGTTATTATTATTACTGTTGTTATCATTTTTATTATAATTCTATTATGGTTATTAGTATTCTTATTTTTATTGCTGTTACCATTGTTTACCATATTATAGAATCCAAATTATACACTATGGTAAATTCACCTAAACTCCTGAACATGAATCGAGGATGGAGCTGCACGAACACATCAGGCACGACGGCGAGACACCGTGCAGCGAGGTCGTCCAAGCCATGGCTTTGAAGCGCCTGGGTTATTTTATTAAGGGTTTAGGCTGAAAGAGTTTATTCAAGTCTCCATTATGGGGATCTATAGTTTATAGGTCACCAACAAAACGGGCTCTTGTTAAGGAGTTGCTTCCCAAATTACCATGATCGGGATCTGCGGTATATGATAGGGTTTCCTTATCATGGTAATCTACCCATAGGCTCCTTAGTAGTTCCTTTTTGTTGTTCATACTTGGGACCCTATAAGGCAATCCCAAAAAGGAACTACTATGGAGCCTATGGGTAACTTAAGCTCCTGAACAAAAACCCAGGCATGGCTTCGTGGCGGTGAAAGGCGCATGCGCGACCTTCGACCCGAAAGTGCACGATGAGACAGACATCGTTTTTGCAAAAGCGGCCGTCTTCTCCAGTCTAACATAGCGTCGGAATAACTAGCAGTAGCGCCCCCTTCTAATCCCTGTAAGTTGATGTCCAGTCAAAGTTGTTCTAATGTGTAGGCCCCCTGTAATACTCTAAAGCCCCATGAGCAAATTGAAAACGCATGTCAAAATCTGTACATGTATTACAAGGCCTTCGGGAGCCATGTAACGGAATCCTACTGATCTCGGTCGGGGTCTAGGGTTTTGGAGTAGAAGCAGAATTGTATGTGCCCTATAGACAGCTGGCATTGTCCTTTCAGATCCCGATTCAGCCATGAAGTGACAAATGAGGTTATCTGGCGTAGCATCACTACATGCTACCGCAAGCCCTAAACCCGAAAAGACCTTAAAGCCTGAGTTTTCTAAGTCTCCGGGCGCCCTTTGCGTAGCCTTTCCATGCTTGGGAGTCACCGGCAGGCCCAGAAGCGAAAATTGGTGTTGCACATGGCGGAGGGCGTTGCGCCCCTCTCCCAGCAAGGCTGAAGGGGTAGTAGGGTTACGTTTGGGTTTTAGGGTTTGTGGTGAGGTTTAGGGTGTACGGATTTTCAAAAAGGTCCCCAATTAAACCGACTTGCAGTGTGCATGTTTTTCCGTCAGATTTCTGCAGCCGCCGCTTTGAGGTCCAGAAGCCCAAAAGCCGTAGACAGAAGCATGCGATGCTCAGGTATCTACACGGGCAGCGGCCCCCGTTCGGCTGGCGCGATTCAAATTTTCACGTCGATTGTACGTGGTGCTCCGTTATTATGTTTCTTCGAAGCCCGATTTATGTGGATGTTTTCTGGAGCCCCGTTGTAGTTCTCAAATATTTATGGCCCCTAAACCCCAAACCCTGTAATTACCCTAAATGCCAGAAACGTAGACCCCCAAATCCTAAACCCTCAAACCGTTAACCCCAAACCCTAAAATCCCTAAGTCCCCAACCCAAAACCCTGAACCCATGCATCATGTGCGGACGGCCTGCTTTGCTCGACCCGCAAGGCGGACATACGGTACAAGCCTAATAATTGCCTATATTGTTCCTGAGGGTTCCTTAGTATAACATGTACGTTATAACTATACTACTATACTATAAGCCTAGTAATTGCCTAAAATATTCCTTAAAGGGTTCCTTATAGCACCTACGTAGTCCTGCCCCGGCTACCAAGCCTTCCAAACTGCCGTGCAGAATCCCAAACGAAGTGCTGGGCTTTGGCAGGTTCGTCCACCGCGACCTCAAAAGCGCCAATGTAGTGCTGGATGAGGACCGTCTCAAGCACGGACAGGGATTATCTTAAATCCTTGACAGCTCTGAGCCCTCCCTCACCTGGAGCTTTAAAACCCGTTAGACCCTAATCCTTATAGGCCGCAGAGGCCCTCAAACTCTAGAGGAACCAAACCCCTTAAGGCCTAAACACCCTAAAGCCCCAAAGCCCTGAAAGCCTTAAACCTTAAACCGTCATCCGCAGCCCTAAGCACCTTAAATACCCTAGACTGAAAGTGTTTCCTTCGAGGAGTTGAATGCAAGGCTTTGCGACTTTGGAATAACCGAGCCCGGCGCACAGAGAGAGAGAGAGAGAGAGAGAGAGAGAGAGAGTGGGTGTGAGGAAGCGTGCAGAAGCATTCAGGGGTTTCGGGTGGTTTGGAGGGCGGAAAGTTACGGATTTGGAATTCAGGGAGACTGAATACCCTGCTACCCCTCCATGCACTACCACCCTTGATCCTTAAACCCTATATGCAGTAAGCTAAACCCCTTTAGATCCTACAGCAGAGTGGTCGGAAAAGTGAGTGCTAACATTCCCTTACAGTCCCTATAGAGTTATAGTCATAGTACAACACCAGAAGCACTCAGGGCCGATACGTTAAGCTGAATACAACCTGAACCTCGAGCCCGTTTTAGCTCGGAATCCTTCACATGATACTGTTAACACCGTTTTGACGTCCCCAGGAGTGGCCCTGTACTACTGTTGATGATACAAATCCTGCATGACCTTAAGGACCCGAATCTATGGGAATTATGGTATACTCCTTATTATGGGTAATGCAGGATTTAGACCATCAACCGTAGAGTTTTGGGTTTGGAGGGGTTAGACTTTTGGGTTTGGGGTTTGGGGTTCAATCTTGTGGTGTTCTTGCACACAGGTTTCTGCCTTGGTGCATTGAGAGCTCAAGACCTGAAGGTTGGTGATCGACGTGGGAGGAGTATTCTCATTCACTTCAGTGACCTCAGTGACAAACGTGCTTACTAGTTTTGGTTTCCTGAGTTTCCATTGTAATCTAACTAACCTCAGCAGGTATATACTTTGGATACGGCCCCCACCAGAAACAGTTGGAGAACAATGTTTCCAATCTAGAAATTCTAGAAAGATAAGGCCGTTATGAGGCCCCCAATACTCTTGTTATAGACTGTTACTGCATGTGTCTTGTTAAAAACAAACCCTAAACCCTTAACCCTATAAACCCTAAACCCTAAACCCTTATAGACTGCTCTTTCCCAGTGGGTGACGTTCAAAGACCCCGACCAAGGCCCATGGAGCGAACCCACATCAGCCGGCGCGCGGCGGAAGCTGGGTCACCGAGGTACTTGGGGCTTAGGTTTTAGGGTTTAAGGGTTTAGGGTTAAGGGTTAAGGGTTTAGGGTTTAGGGCTTAGGGTTTAGGGCTTAGGGTTTAGGGTTTAGGGTACTTGGGGCTTAGGGGCTTCGGAGGTGGGGTTCTGGTGATTCTGGTGTGTAGGGTTCCGGGTTTAGGCGTTGGGATTTTGTGCCAAGGCCGCACCAGGAGCCACATGTTCGTAGACGATGTTGAGTAGTGTTATGATTCAGTTACGATACCCAGATTATGCAAACTGATACATCTCCGTGAGCAGCTAGAACGGATAAAAAATGGACGCAGGAAATCGACGCTGGATTTCTGTTATCACTAGGAATGGAAGCAATCATGCGGACAACATTGTGTCTATTTTCCGGTGAAACCCCCCGTGGCCAAAATGGGCGTCCATTTTCTTCCATGGCCCTTAAGTCCCAAGCCCCAGGAGGGCGTGACAGGTGCTAGATCTCTTCGGAATCACTTCGACATTTCTCCCAAACACTCTCAAATCCTCTCTTACATTCTAGCTTTGGGAATGCCGTGTGCACGACGCACCTGGAGAAACTTAGAAGCTCAGCAGTGGAAAAACGAGGTTTAGTGCAATGTGTGCGACATCCATGTTGCATTCATGTCTTTTGGCATCTAATAATGGACGTTGCAGGTGTCTTCATTTCCAAAATCCACTTTTGCTAGCGGCACGTCCATTTCTGAGCTTTGGGGCTTTCCAAGAAATGGCCATCATACGTATAGCGGTTACTTTACTCATTATACACTGTCAACCCCTCAAAGTCAAGTAGTCGGAGTTGCAGCATGGTGCCAATCAAGGTCATCCAGGTTTCCAGCTTTACTACTAAACCCTAAAACGCTAAAGCCCTAAACCCTAAGCCCTAAAGCCCTAAACCCTATACCCTAAAGCCTTAAAGCCCTAAACC